TTTTTTTTTTTTTTTTCTTTTGGGCATTGGCCTCCTTCTTCTTCTTCTTCTTTTTTTTTTTCTTTGGGTGCTGGCTCCTTTCTTTCTTCTTTTTTTTTTTTTGCTTTGGGCACTTGCCTCCTATTTTTTTTTGGGCCCTGGCCTCCTTTCTTTTTTTTTTTTCTTCTTGGGCGCTGGCCTCCCTTCTCTCTCTCTTTTTTTTTTTTGCCTATAAATAAGGGTCTCTGGTCTCTTCCTCCTCATTCCTCTTTGCATTTCTTATTTTCTGGAGGATTCTCTCAGAAGCTACACTTCCTCTATTTAAAGGCTCTTCAAAGTTTCTTGTGTCTCACAATTTCTCCCCCTCAATGTTCTCTCGTCTAACCCAAATCAACACCATGGAGACGAGGAGTTCAAAGAAGACGAGTACCACTGGCGAAATGTCAGATAGCTCGAATGAGTTGGCCCAAGGGTTGGGCAGCACCCGTGGCCTGCTAGGTGGTGCCCGAGCCTTGGGCGATGCCGAAGATGCTACAAGCAATGGAGCCATGTCTTTTGTTGATGGTGTTAGGGATTCAGGCAACGGTGTAGCGAATCAAGGTGATCCCAGCGTAGACCTCATGGGCGGCGCCCATGTTGTTGGCATAATGGGTGGCACCTATGTTGAGGAAGGGAAAGGTGACGATGGAAGCTTGGCAAGTGTGATTAGGAGTTTAGAGCTTGAAGAGGATCTTTGTGGTGACAGGGGCGGCGCCTAAGTGGTTGCTCCAGATGGTGATGTGGGCCCTTCTTTGGGTGATGACGCTTTGACACAAGGCGGAGGAGCAAAAGAACAGAGAGGAGGTACCAGCCCAGCTATAGGCGCCGCCCATGCTGCCATGGGCAGGGCCAGGTCCCCCGTAGGCGACCCCAGGCTGCCCCGGAGTGGCATGGGGTGCAATGCAATCACCTTTAGAGACGGAAATGGAGATTTAGGTGCGATAGGCAACTCCAGGGAGCTTGCAGACAAGTCTAGTAATGCCCTTGGGCGCTTGGATAGTGCAAAGAAATGGCCAAGCAACGATTTGAGTAGGTCGTGCCCTCAAGGTTTGTCATCGGGCCCTTGTATTTACTTATTTGTTGGTATGAACATTTTCTTCGGCAATGGACTAACTTTGTCTTTGCGGATGTTCACTCAAGCGAGAGGGAGATTACTGGGGACTCCGAGGGAGGCCCGGGTACTGACGAAGACAGTGGCTCTAAGGTAACTTCTATACTTAGCTCTCTTCATTGTGATGGAGATATTGCCGCTATAGTTTCCTCATATCGTATCCCTCCTTTTGTGATCTGTCGTCGTGCCAAGTGCGATGCGCTAGCATGCTGCGACTCCTCTAACGAAATTGCACTTTATGTAGACATACTGGAGTCAGGCCTGAGGTTTTCGATACCCAAAACCATATGTTAGATACTGCTGCACCTGTCACTGGTTCACGGGAGGTTGGTCCCGAATGGGTGGAAGTTGATGTCGGCGTTCTTTGCATTGTGGCAGTTAGTGCATGATGCTAATGTTCCCCTACCATTCAAGGAGTTCCTGGCCACGTATGTGCTTTTGGAGAACCCCATTGCTCACCAAGGGTGGTACTATTTTACCCCGAGGGCAGGCAAATTCATTACTAGGCTTACCTCGAATCTCCATGGTTAGAAGACTAAGTTCCTCATTGTCGGAGGCGAGTAGGCTGCTGAGTCCGATCGTGACTTGGTACCCACCAGATGGGATACCTTACCCAAGACCAAGCTGGGTAAGGATTTTACCTTTAACTTTTGTTCTAGTCATCACGTATTGGTTTTTACAATAACTGGCTTCCTGTAGCTTCGTCTGCTCTATCCCCAAAGCAAGAGAGCAGGCTTCAGATGGTTCATGATCACCCATTCAAGGAGTTCTCCAAAATCATGTTAGCGTTTGGTCTTTCCACAGTTTCTCCGAGGTTGAAAAAAAAGGTACTTGACTTTTCCCGAGGTCTCCTTGAAAACAAAACGTTGTAGGCTTTTAACTTACATTGATTCTATAGGTACCCATATCGATAGGTCAATGGTGGAGTCGGTCTGTGCTTCCAGGGCGGCTTCTTCTCCTCCTCCTTCCAAAAGGGCGAAGTCTAGTGCCCCTAGTTCCTCTGAGCCAAGGTCCATTGGTCAGGCTAGTCTTGTAGAGACAGAGCTTGGTGATGCTCCTCCTCCCTTCCTGATTGATGTCTCCTCACCACCCAGAGGTGGTCCCAACATTTCTGCGGGGGCTGAGGCTTTGGCGTATGGTCTCTCAACAGGATAGAGGGTCCGTCTGGCTGTCCCTCTTTGGTTGGTGCCCCAATATCTATGTTGCGGGAAGTGAGACTGGCAAGGGAGAGACTTTGGGATTTCATGACCCACACAGAAGTTTAGAAGGTTGCCACTCGAGGCTTTAAGGGTGTTTTTGATGCCACTATGGAAGGCTTTGCCTTGGTAGGTCCTGCACTTTTTTCTTTGGCTTTGTTCCTGACTTCTCTCCTTTTATACTGTACTTTTGACTGCATGCAAATGACCGCTGCTTTGCCCTACTTTTTTATAAGCACACTGAGTATCAAGGAAGCGATCAATGGCCAGGCAGTATATAGGCGGGCATGTGAGGCTGCTGAAGAGCAGATAAGGCTTGAGCAGCAGACACGGGAGGCTGTCGCAGAGCTTGCACGATAGGCAAGAGAGGATGCCGTTGAGCAGTTGAGGCTAGCACATGAGAGGGTTGCCCATCTAGAGACTGACCTTCGAGTAGTACTGGAGAGAGCTACTAGGGTAGAGGCTTACTCCGTGGAGATGGAGAGGATGAGGGATGTTGCTGAAAGCGCGAGGGCAGGCGCCTTCATTGATGGCTACGATGAGCTCAAGAGGAAGGTCTAAGTGGCATTCCCTGCTTATGAATTTTCTGTCTTTTAGCCTTATGAGGCTCCGGAGACCGATGAGGAGGATACGAGCGATGGGAGTGAAGACAGTGAGTGTCGGTAGTGACATGACACTTTTTGTATCTTTTGTCGATAGATTGTATTCTATCTTTTTTATAAAAGTTTCACGAACTTTGAATGAAATACAAATTTTTTGAAAAACTATTAGGAAATTTTATTCCATAATTCAAAGTAAATATTTTATAAAAGTTAACCAAAATAAAAAGGTAAACAGTCTAAATAGTGACTACCAATTTATAACTCACTGTCCCCAACTACTGGTAATATTTCTTTAGATGCTCTGCATTCCATGGATGGGTCAGGATCTTTCATTCAAAATTATGGATTCTATAGGTCCCTAGCCTTACCAATTCCATGATCATATAGTGTCCTTCCCAATTGGGTCCCAATTTTCCTTTTTGGGAGTCTTTAGTTGACATGATGACCTTTTTGAGGACTAAGTCCCCAAACAACAAGGAGTAAGCCTTCACCCTCGAGTTGTAGTACTTAGTCATGCGACGTTTGTACTCTACATTCCTAAGCATGGTTGTCTCCCTTTCCTCCTCTACTAAGTCGAAGTTAATACGAAGGCCTTCTTCATTGTTAGCGAGGTCATGGTGTTGGACCCTATGGGAGTGTATTCTAAATTCAACGGGTATCACTACCTCTGTCCCATAGGTGAGAGAGAAAAGGGTCTCACCCGTAGGACTTCTTGGTGTCGTCTAATAGGCCCATAGTACTCTTGGGAGTTCGTCTACTCACTTCCCTTTTGGAGTCTCCGGCCTGGTTTTCAAGTTGAAGAGTATGGTTCTGATAATGACTTTTGCTTGCTCGTTCGCCTGTGGATAGGCTGGGCTGGAGTGGGGTTGCTTGATCTAGAGGTCTGCACAGAAACTGTTGAGGAGTTTGTTGTCAAACTACTTGGTGTTGTCACTCACAATGGCGTGCGGAATCCCAAAGCGGCAGACTAGACTCCTCCATATGAAGTCCTTTATCTTCTGGTCTGTTATTTTGGCCAAGGCCTTCAGCTTCCGCCTACTTAGTGAAGTAGCCGATGGCTATAACCACAAACTTGCACTGGCCTCGACTCACAGGAAGAGGACCTAGGATGTCGATCCCCCATATGGAGAAAGGCTATGAGCTCTAGATGGCGGTTAGATCTTCGGGTGGCTGTCTGGGCATAGTTGCAAAATGCTGGCACTTGTCACATCGCCTGACAAAGCCTTAGGTGTCTCAGATCATGGTAGGCCAATAATATCCCTGTCTGAATACCTTATGGGCTAATGCACACCCTCTTGAGTGATTCCCACATACCCCCTCATGGATCTCTCTCATGGCGTAGTTAGTTTCTTCGGGGATGAGACAACGACGTAGTGGGAGAGAATAATATTTCTTGTAGAGAGGTGTTTTATAGGATGATATACCTAAACGCTCTTATTCTCAATCTCCTGGCTTCTACTAGACTATCTAGGAGAGTGCCCTCCTCAAGGTAAGCTCAGATAGGGGTCATCTAATTAGACTCGAAGGATGCACAGTTGACATCGTCCTCCTCTGTCTTAGAGTTACTAGGCTTGAACTGGTGACCTGTCAGTACGAGACCCATGAGTATGTTGGCAGAGGCAAACTTGGCGAGGGTGTCTATTATGACGTTCTCTTCTCAAGGTACATGGTTGATTTGGAAGCTAACGAACCTCTTTATCAAGGTCTGGACAACTGTGAGGTAATCTTGCATTCTTGCCTCCTTGGCTTCAAAGTTTCCCTTTACTTGGTTGACTATGAGTTGAGAGTCACTATAAGCTATCAAGTAGAGGGCCTCCATCTCCAATGCCAACCTTAGTTCTGATATAAGGACCTCATACTCCGCTTGATTATTTGATGTGGCAAAGTGGAGGAAGACATTGTACCTTAATAGTGTGCCATGAGAGTTGATTACCACTAGTCCTGCGCTACCGCCCTCACTAGTGGAGGACTCATTCACGTAGAGTCTCCAACCTGGTACAGTGAGTGGCAGAGTAGGAGTCAACTCTGCAGGCGGGCGCTGGCATTGAGGTGGTAGGAGGCAAAAGGCTATTGGGCGACCTCTAGACAGAGGAATGCAAAGCAAGCAAAGGGGGCAACGCCTCAAGCATAGTGGGCAGTGTCCTAGGCCATGTGGACAGCCCCCTAGGCCTGGTGGGCGACGCCCAGGGCTGTTCAGGCTGAGGTTCCTCCCCAAAGTTGTCATGTTCTCCTGGGTCGCGTCTGGTCCAGTCTCCTAGCAGGTGGAGTCAAAGTGTACTGAGCAGGTGGGTGTAAGGGCACCTGACACTTCCTCCTAGGACTCCTGTGGTGGATTAGACCCGGCCACGAAGTCTACAAGTGTATGTGCTTTGATGGCAGCCCTCGACTGGTACTGCACATCGAATTCACTTAATTTTATGACCTATTTGAGCAGTCAGTCAGAGACATGAAGTTTCCCTAAGATTCTTTTGAGTGGCAGATCTGTGACAACCACGATGGTATGGCTCTGAAAGTAATGGCACAGATGCCTAGTGACAGTGACAAGGACGAGAGCCAACTTCTCAAGTTCTAAGTATCTCACCTTTGTCCCTCGGTACGCCCTACTTACATAGTATATGGGCTTTTGGATGCCTTCATCCTTTCTAATGAGGACAACGCTTACGGCAGAGGGTGAAGATGAGAGATAAAGGTAGAGGGTCTCTTCTGGTACAACATGAGAGAGTAAAAGTGGTTTGGCGAGGTAGGCCTTGAGTTTCTAAAAGGCCTCTTCTGCATTTGGGCCCCACTGGAAGGACCTGCAGAAGATTTTAAAGAAGGGTAGACATTTATCTGCAGATTTAGAGATGAACCTATTGAGGGCTGCTTCCCTTCCATTAAGGCACTGGACTTTCTTTGTTGAGGCAAGAGACTTCATCTTCAAGACGACGCTGATTTTGTCTGAGTTGGCTTTAATACCCCTTTTGTTGGACTATGAAACCTAAGAACTTTCCTGATCTAATGTCAAAGGTGCACTTTTTAGGATTCAACTTCACCTTGTAGGCTCTTAACACATCAAAGGTCTCCTATAGGTGTGTTACATGATCTGCCGCAATTATACTTTTCACCAACATGTCATCAACATAGACCTTTATCGTCTTTCCAATTTGGGCGTCAAACATTTGTTGACGAGGCGTTGATACGTAGCTCCAACGTTCTTGAGTTCGAAAGGCATCACCCTGTAACAGTAAGCATCTCTCAGGGTAATGAATGAGGTCTTCTCCTGATCTAGAGGGAACATGTTGATCTAATTGTACCCAGAGTAGGCGTCTAGAAAACATGTTGATTTATAGTGGTTCGGTTCGGATGACCTACTCCACTCTCTTGAACGGTAGCAGTGGCCAAAGTTCTTTATTGAATAATGCATTCGATAGAATAACTCCGGGTGTATTACAAAGATTGGAAGAGAGAGAGGGACAATGTGTGTAGAGAGATGTGTGTGAGGTCTGAATGTGTTGTCTTTTTTATGTGTAGAGGATTTACATTATACAGGTTTAGTAAGGCGGTGAGGCGGTATCGTGAGGGAGAATGCTTCTACTATTTTGGTAAGTACAATTATGGTAGGATTAGGCCTCCGTGCGTATCCCGATATTCTCTCCTTGTGCTCCTATTTCATTGGTAGAAGGATCCTGATCTAGGTTGGACATCCTGAGCTGGGTTGGACTTGACTAGACTTGAGTTGGAGTGACAAAGTTAAAAGGACGAAGGAGGAACAAGAGGCTAGCCCTTGGGTAGCGCCCCCTTGCTCCCTCTTTTGGGCATTGGCTTCTTGATCTCCTTTTGTGCCTGGCAAGTTTAGGCTCCTTTCTGGATACTAATCATTTGGGCCGTTTATTTTTATTAGGCTAGGCCAAGTTACTTTTGGGCTCATCATTTGCTCCCCATGCCACAAGTCTCTAACTTTTCGAGAGAGGAAGGGGTTGAGGGCATTCACTTCTTCTTCGCTTGAATAGGAGTTTTCTTGCTCCACATGGTAGCTTTTTTTCCATTATTTGGAGACTAGGTGACCTTTGCTGATGGCGGTGCCAAGAGAACAAAATGGGGTGTTCTTTGCAGGCCCAGATGCATTGCTCTTATAAACTTCTTTACTGATTGAGTGCTCCAAGATTTTTTCTGGTGGTCTTTTGCCCAAAGCATCATATCCATCATCACATATAATAAGAGCATCTTTTTCTCCGTTGAAAGAACCAAAAATTCTTTTTGAGACCTATACAACTAACTTCAGGTCACAAGATCTAGACTTCCTAAGATAACTGTTTAAGTGGCAAGCAATGGTGGCCCCCTTGGGCGTTAGCTTCCTTTCTTCTTTTTTTTTTTTTTTTCTTTTGGGCATTGGCCTCCTTCTTCTTCTTCTTCTTTTTTTTTTTCTTTGGGTGCTGGCTCCTTTCTTTCTTCTTTTTTTTTTTTTGCTTTGGGCACTTGCCTCCTATTTTTTTTTGGGCCCTGGCCTCCTTTCTTTTTTTTTTTTTCTTCTTGGGCGCTGGCCTCCCTTCTCTCTCTCTTTTTTTTTTTGCTTATAAATAAGGGTCTCTGGTCTCTTCCTCCTCATTCCTCTTTGCATTTCTTATTTTCTGGAGGATTCTCTCAGAAGCTACACTTCCTCTATTTAAAGGCTCTTCAAAGTTTCTTGTGTCTCACAATTTCTCCCCCTCAATGTTCTCTCGTCTAACCCAAATCAACACCATGGAGACGAGGAGTTCAAAGAAGACGAGTACCACTGGCGAAATGTCAGATAGCTCGAATGAGTTGGCCCAAGGGTTGGGCAGCACCCGTGGCCTGCTAGGTGGTGCCCGAGCCTTGGGCGATGCCGAAGATGCTACAAGCAATGGAGCCATGTCTTTTGTTGATGGTGTTAGGGATTCAGGCAACGGTGTAGCGAATCAAGGTGATCCCAGCGTAGACCTCATGGGCGGCGCCCATGTTGTTGGCATAATGGGTGGCACCTATGTTGAGGAAGGGAAAGGTGACGATGGAAGCTTGGCAAGTGTGATTAGGAGTTTAGAGCTTGAAGAGGATCTTTGTGGTGACAGGGGCGGCGCCTAAGTGGTTGCTCCAGATGGTGATGTGGGCCCTTCTTTGGGTGATGACGCTTTGACACAAGGCGGAGGAGCAAAAGAACAGAGAGGAGGTACCAGCCCAGCTATAGGCGCCGCCCATGCTGCCATGGGCAGGGCCAGGTCCCCCGTAGGCGACCCCAGGCTGCCCCGGAGTGGCATGGGGTGCAATGCAATCACCTTTAGAGACGGAAATGGAGATTTAGGTGCGATAGGCAACTCCAGGGAGCTTGCAGACAAGTCTAGTAATGCCCTTGGGCGCTTGGATAGTGCAAAGAAATGGCCAAGCAACGATTTGAGTAGGTCGTGCCCTCAAGGTTTGTCATCGGGCCCTTGTATTTACTTATTTGTTGGTATGAACATTTTCTTCGGCAATGGACTAACTTTGTCTTTGCGGATGTTCACTCAAGCGAGAGGGAGATTACTGGGGACTCCGAGGGAGGCCCGGGTACTGACGAAGACAGTGGCTCTAAGGTAACTTCTATACTTAGCTCTCTTCATTGTGATGGAGATATTGCCGCTATAGTTTCCTCATATCGTATCCCTCCTTTTGTGATCTGTCGTCGTGCCAAGTGCGATGCGCTAGCATGCTGCGACTCCTCTAACGAAATTGCACTTTATGTAGACATACTGGAGTCAGGCCTGAGGTTTTCGATACCCAAAACCATATGTTAGATACTGCTGCACCTGTCACTGGTTCACGGGAGGTTGGTCCCGAATGGGTGGAAGTTGATGTCGGCGTTCTTTGCATTGTGGCAGTTAGTGCATGATGCTAATGTTCCCCTACCATTCAAGGAGTTCCTGGCCACGTATGTGCTTTTGGAGAACCCCATTGCTCACCAAGGGTGGTACTATTTTACCCCGAGGGCAGGCAAATTCATTACTAGGCTTACCTCGAATCTCCATGGTTAGAAGACTAAGTTCCTCATTGTCGGAGGCGAGTAGGCTGCTGAGTCCGATCGTGACTTGGTACCCACCAGATGGGATACCTTACCCAAGACCAAGCTGGGTAAGGATTTTACCTTTAACTTTTGTTCTAGTCATCACGTATTGGTTTTTACAATAACTGGCTTCCTGTAGCTTCGTCTGCTCTATCCCCAAAGCAAGAGAGCAGGCTTCAGATGGTTCATGATCACCCATTCAAGGAGTTCTCCAAAATCATGTTAGCGTTTGGTCTTTCCACAGTTTCTCCGAGGTTGAAAAAAAAGGTACTTGACTTTTCCCGAGGTCTCCTTGAAAACAAAACGTTGTAGGCTTTTAACTTACATTGATTCTATAGGTACCCATATCGATAGGTCAATGGTGGAGTCGGTCTGTGCTTCCAGGGCGGCTTCTTCTCCTCCTCCTTCCAAAAGGGCGAAGTCTAGTGCCCCTAGTTCCTCTGAGCCAAGGTCCATTGGTCAGGCTAGTCTTGTAGAGACAGAGCTTGGTGATGCTCCTCCTCCCTTCCTGATTGATGTCTCCTCACCACCCAGAGGTGGTCCCAACATTTCTGCGGGGGCTGAGGCTTTGGCGTATGGTCTCTCAACAGGATAGAGGGTCCGTCTGGCTGTCCCTCTTTGGTTGGTGCCCCAATATCTATGTTGCGGGAAGTGAGACTGGCAAGGGAGAGACTTTGGGATTTCATGACCCACACAGAAGTTTAGAAGGTTGCCACTCGAGGCTTTAAGGGTGTTTTTGATGCCACTATGGAAGGCTTTGCCTTGGTAGGTCCTGCACTTTTTTCTTTGGCTTTGTTCCTGACTTCTCTCCTTTTATACTGTACTTTTGACTGCATGCAAATGACCGCTGCTTTGCCCTACTTTTTTATAAGCACACTGAGTATCAAGGAAGCGATCAATGGCCAGGCAGTATATAGGCGGGCATGTGAGGCTGCTGAAGAGCAGATAAGGCTTGAGCAGCAGACACGGGAGGCTGTCGCAGAGCTTGCACGATAGGCAAGAGAGGATGCCGTTGAGCAGTTGAGGCTAGCACATGAGAGGGTTGCCCATCTAGAGACTGACCTTCGAGTAGTACTGGAGAGAGCTACTAGGGTAGAGGCTTACTCCGTGGAGATGGAGAGGATGAGGGATGTTGCTGAAAGCGCGAGGGCAGGCGCCTTCATTGATGGCTACGATGAGCTCAAGAGGAAGGTCTAAGTGGCATTCCCTGCTTATGAATTTTCTGTCTTTTAGCCTTATGAGGCTCCGGAGACCGATGAGGAGGATACGAGCGATGGGAGTGAAGACAGTGAGTGTCGGTAGTGACATGACACTTTTTGTATCTTTTGTCGATAGATTGTATTCTATCTTTTTTATAAAAGTTTCACGAACTTTGAATGAAATACAAATTTTTTGAAAAACTATTAGGAAATTTTATTCCATAATTCAAAGTAAATATTTTATAAAAGTTAACCAAAATAAAAAGGTAAACAGTCTAAATAGTGACTACCAATTTATAACTCACTGTCCCCAACTACTGGTAATATTTCTTTAGATGCTCTGCATTCCATGGATGGGTCAGGATCTTTCATTCAAAATTATGGATTCTATAGGTCCCTAGCCTTACCAATTCCATGATCATATAGTGTCCTTCCCAATTGGGTCCCAATTTTCCTTTTTGGGAGTCTTTAGTTGACATGATGACCTTTTTGAGGACTAAGTCCCCAAACAACAAGGAGTAAGCCTTCACCCTCGAGTTGTAGTACTTAGTCATGCGACGTTTGTACTCTACATTCCTAAGCATGGTTGTCTCCCTTTCCTCCTCTACTAAGTCGAAGTTAATACGAAGGCCTTCTTCATTGTTAGCGAGGTCATGGTGTTGGACCCTATGGGAGTGTATTCTAAATTCAACGGGTATCACTACCTCTGTCCCATAGGTGAGAGAGAAAAGGGTCTCACCCGTAGGACTTCTTGGTGTCGTCTAATAGGCCCATAGTACTCTTGGGAGTTCGTCTACTCACTTCCCTTTTGGAGTCTCCGGCCTGGTTTTCAAGTTGAAGAGTATGGTTCTGATAATGACTTTTGCTTGCTCGTTCGCCTGTGGATAGGCTGGGCTGGAGTGGGGTTGCTTGATCTAGAGGTCTGCACAGAAACTGTTGAGGAGTTTGTTGTCAAACTACTTGGTGTTGTCACTCACAATGGCGTGCGGAATCCCAAAGCGGCAGACTAGACTCCTCCATATGAAGTCCTTTATCTTCTGGTCTGTTATTTTGGCCAAGGCCTTCAGCTTCCGCCTACTTAGTGAAGTAGCCGATGGCTATAACCACAAACTTGCACTGGCCTCGACTCACAGGAAGAGGACCTAGGATGTCGATCCCCCATATGGAGAAAGGCTATGAGCTCTAGATGGCGGTTAGATCTTCGGGTGGCTGTCTGGGCATAGTTGCAAAATGCTGGCACTTGTCACATCGCCTGACAAAGCCTTAGGTGTCTCAGATCATGGTAGGCCAATAATATCCCTGTCTGAATACCTTATGGGCTAATGCACACCCTCTTGAGTGATTCCCACATACCCCCTCATGGATCTCTCTCATGGCGTAGTTAGTTTCTTCGGGGATGAGACAACGACGTAGTGGGAGAGAATAATATTTCTTGTAGAGAGGTGTTTTATAGGATGATATACCTAAACGCTCTTATTCTCAATCTCCTGGCTTCTACTAGACTATCTAGGAGAGTGCCCTCCTCAAGGTAAGCTCAGATAGGGGTCATCTAATTAGACTCGAAGGATGCACAGTTGACATCGTCCTCCTCTGTCTTAGAGTTACTAGGCTTGAACTGGTGACCTGTCAGTACGAGACCCATGAGTATGTTGGCAGAGGCAAACTTGGCGAGGGTGTCTATTATGACGTTCTCTTCTCAAGGTACATGGTTGATTTGGAAGCTAACGAACCTCTTTATCAAGGTCTGGACAACTGTGAGGTAATCTTGCATTCTTGCCTCCTTGGCTTCAAAGTTTCCCTTTACTTGGTTGACTATGAGTTGAGAGTCACTATAAGCTATCAAGTAGAGGGCCTCCATCTCCAATGCCAACCTTAGTTCTGATATAAGGACCTCATACTCCGCTTGATTATTTGATGTGGCAAAGTGGAGGAAGACATTGTACCTTAATAGTGTGCCATGAGAGTTGATTACCACTAGTCCTGCGCTACCGCCCTCACTAGTGGAGGACTCATTCACGTAGAGTCTCCAACCTGGTACAGTGAGTGGCAGAGTAGGAGTCAACTCTGCAGGCGGGCGCTGGCATTGAGGTGGTAGGAGGCAAAAGGCTATTGGGCGACCTCTAGACAGAGGAATGCAAAGCAAGCAAAGGGGGCAACGCCTCAAGCATAGTGGGCAGTGTCCTAGGCCATGTGGACAGCCCCCTAGGCCTGGTGGGCGACGCCCAGGGCTGTTCAGGCTGAGGTTCCTCCCCAAAGTTGTCATGTTCTCCTGGGTCGCGTCTGGTCCAGTCTCCTAGCAGGTGGAGTCAAAGTGTACTGAGCAGGTGGGTGTAAGGGCACCTGACACTTCCTCCTAGGACTCCTGTGGTGGATTAGACCCGGCCACGAAGTCTACAAGTGTATGTGCTTTGATGGCAGCCCTCGACTGGTACTGCACATCGAATTCACTTAATTTTATGACCTATTTGAGCAGTCAGTCAGAGACATGAAGTTTCCCTAAGATTCTTTTGAGTGGCAGATCTGTGACAACCACGATGGTATGGCTCTGAAAGTAATGGCACAGATGCCTAGTGACAGTGACAAGGACGAGAGCCAACTTCTCAAGTTCTAAGTATCTCACCTTTGTCCCTCGGTACGCCCTACTTACATAGTATATGGGCTTTTGGATGCCTTCATCCTTTCTAATGAGGACAACGCTTACGGCAGAGGGTGAAGATGAGAGATAAAGGTAGAGGGTCTCTTCTGGTACAACATGAGAGAGTAAAAGTGGTTTGGCGAGGTAGGCCTTGAGTTTCTAAAAGGCCTCTTCTGCATTTGGGCCCCACTGGAAGGACCTGCAGAAGATTTTA